CGGGTGAGGTTTAGCAAAAGAAAAAATATGGCGTTCGTCTCACATCAGCTAATCCCCTAAAGCCCCGAGGCTTTCGGGCTGCCTGTTGCTTCGCCGGGCTGGGCGCCGGCATAAAGAAACTTCCGACCCTAATCGGGCTCAGATGCTAGTTCTGGTGCGCTGCTGCAACAGCTGCTGCGGTGGGGGCGGAAAGCACGAAAAACGAATAATAGAGTAGCAGAACTGGTAATATTGGTGATTTTAGTAGATAGTAGTAGTAGTTCACGATTTTATAGATAGCAAGCGAGCTTGCTTGGCGGCGTATACTACAACTAACGAGCCCTCGGCTGATTCATACTCGCTTGCCCTGGAAATGCCCTTCTCAAAACTTAGGTCTCGCTTCTAGCTCCATAGCCGAGCTGTACTAATCCCATTACACCTAAGTAATACATGTCTAGACTTTATGTCAAATGGCTCAAACAGATGACCACTTCTCATATGTAGAAATTTGATATTCCCGAGTATCCCTAATTACATTTGTTTCGTGTGTCATAATTTGTCTTATCGAATTTTCTAGGCATGACGACGCACCATTAGTTTAAAAGAAGCAGTCTAGAAAGTTCGAACCGAAGCATCTTCATTGAAAATTTAAAAGTTGAATGGTTCTACATCTAGAAGTTATCACCGGAGGCGCCTGCAGCAATGAGCGGGTCAAACTATTTTAAATCTTTAGGCCTAGTTCTAGCTAACGTTCAGGAAAACGCTTCGTAAAAATTCAATTGCAACATTATTTTATGAGATGCTTGTGTGAACCCTGTTCGCTTCGGAGTGTATCTCAGTTCGGGAAGGAACCGTGGCCGAAATAAAATATATTTCGTTAGCTACAAAATTGTTATCGTATCCTGTAATAAATTAAGATATATATATTCTTTTGATACGTATCATTCACTGCGACTTGCATATATCTATTTATGTGACCTTTAAAATATATCCTGTATTAGGGATACGCTATGCATTCAGAGATACGCACAGAAGACTAGATGCCGATTTGTTGCGAAATATCTAGACATTGAAACTCATCCACCTCAAATGTATAGAGGAGGTATCTTCATATGAGAGGAAAGAAGACCCAAGGAAATATGTAACTCTATGTTCTGAAGAAATGCTACAATTGAGTCTTTGGTAATTACAAGCGGCTCATTTCCGTAGCGATCAAACTGTTTCGTCAACAAACGCGAACAAAATCCATTTAGCGTATCACGTAAGCGCCAAAACGATGATTATTTAAACCTAGTGCTATTAATGTAAACAATTAGTTATATGATATATCTTCATTTGAGCAATTGTGAAATCTACCTTTGTCTTAATAAGGGTGGGTGTACTATATTGATTAAGGCGATGGACGATAACAGGTCAAAAGAATTTTTGTGTTGTCCAAACCACCCGTTTTTGGCTTTTTACCAAGTGTTAATATATTCATAAGTTCTGATCCATCGTCGGCACCATCGGCGAGGTAAGCTAAATTGACGCACTAAAACCAGCCAGTCTTGCACAATATATCATTATATATACACAAACTGTTTCTCCCAGTTGCAATCGGATAATTTGGCCTACTACTGAGCAAAATGCTAAACGTTCAAGGTTAATTACTACAAGGTATGACAATCCATTGGTATTGACTACGCTATTGCTAATTGAAGGAAACATTGAGCCTAGCTTTGATCAGGCTCAAGTTACTTGCCCCCTTGCAGCATCAACCTTCAAACAATTGAGTGATTTGGCAAAGATGAAGGCAGTCTTATACATACATGCAGTGCAATACTTTATTCTGAAAGCTAGGTTATGAGTCAATGCAGCCGGGTATATAAATGACAGCAATGGTGGGCATGACGAAGGAAGCCTTGCAAACAACCTTTGATCTATATATTCTATCATAGCGAGTACAAATCCAGACTTGGAATAAGCAAAATGACTCATGCTCAATTACCGAGTCAGCCTCAGGGTGCTTGCGGAGGTATTAGACATCTCGCAGGAGTCATGTCGGACTATTTTGCGAAAAGGCTCATTACAACTGCCGAAAGGCCTAAGGTACCAGAAGGGGTATAACAAGTCGTCTAACTACTAGGAAGTTTTAAGAAAATTGCAGGATTCTACCTGTCAAAATAACCCGAAACTTAGGCAGAACGAGTCATAAATTTTTCAATACCATAATATACCGGCTGATATGTTGCTCCTAATAGTACATATCATAGGGAAAAACGCAGTGCTTGTATTGCCTCGAATCGTGCTGGCAACAGATTTGCGACCTTTCGAGCGGAGCCGGGATCTATTTCTACGAGTGAGTTCGAAAAGTGTTTAGGTAAGTAAAAAAGATGGCACAGGTGCATTGAGTGCAGTGAAAATTATTTTGAAAAATACAAGTGGGGTTCGAGCAACTTAGGGATGTGAATTTGGACAGAATCAACCTTTCGATATTTTGTTTTCGTAAAGTATGGCATTGCTGAAGGTACTTTTTATAAACAACATGTTTAATGATAAATGAGCGCTAAAGTAAGGCTTGACATGAGCGCGGTAGCTAGGAGGCGGAATAGATAGTTAGACCTAGCTAGCGACATTTGCACATAGCGGAAACTTTTAAGAATTGCCTGGAATTTCAGGCCAACCCTTCATCATGTGGATTTGGCAGCTTTCATAGGGTGCCCTGTAGGAATTATTCATCAATCCTGTTCCAAATGACAGTTCGAAACCAACTTTTCAATGTGTCCTAATCCAAGGATAAGCCTCAAAAAGCGTCAAAGGACACCAAGAATCGTCGATGAGCGTGAGAGCTTAAATTCGGGCGACACCCGGTATACACAGTTTATTAGAGAAAACAGAGATAAAACGAGGCGATCGAGTGAACTCGAAACGAAAGACGCATAGTAAATTCGCGCCACAGACAGTATAACCTAGCTGCAGTTGACCCAAGATCATACAGGCGCACTGAAACAAACACCGAGAGCTACAGCGCCATATTGCACCAACACGCCTTGAACGCACACGACGCGCCGACCGGTTAGGTACAATCGCTAACTCGGCTTGCTTTCTGTTTTTAGCGTAATCTTATCGATAAATCTATACTCATGGTTGGATGGTGAGGCGGCCTCACATGTCACTTCAGTAGACAGCCTGCGGATTAAGTTGACTTCGCCAATCAACTCAATGCTAAGGCGAGACCTAATTAATCGTATTTACGATCATAGTTAAAATACGAAGAGGCTTTACGTAAAATAGGCATCCTTGCCAATTAACCGAAGCTTTGATTTTCGCTTTAGATCCTATTCGACAGCCTCACGCATGGCTGATTTTCATAACGCCACCTTAATCCGAGTATTAGCCCTGTCGCGTTAAGCCTGAACGTGAATCGGCCGCGACCTTATTCTTTGTAAACAAATTTGTTTTCATCTTTCTATTGCTACGATTTAGTTCGAAAATTGCTTAGGCCAGTAAAAAAAAAAGGTGGTGCAAATTTAGATGGTAGCCTCTGCTCTGCGATGCGGAAAGGCTTTACTAACCACGAAGCGTGAAGAAAGAGCAGTCCAACAATCATCGTGGCACCGTCCATTAATGGTTAACAAGGTATACAAGAGGCTTTACAAGCCAACTCACAACCTAAAAGGGTAGCGACTAGTCAGTGGTAGCAACCTATCCGTTGCTGCTAAACCCCTGGATAAATAATCATAATAGTAGGAAATTGTTTCCTACAAAAAACAAAGAAGAGAGCAGCTCCACTGATAGCTATGCTAGCGTTCGGGTTGGAAAATCTATGATGATCTGCTGAGAACAACGAGCACTTTAACAACATCTTTATCTCATAATAACAATTATTGAAGGATAAATGTTCATTCCAATATGTACCATGCTAATTTACAACATGATTTATGCATAAGCGTATAATCGACTTGAGTGTAAGTATTGGTTACAGCTGTCCGGCGGTAATGCGGATTACGAAGACGACCTGCACGGACGAGATGAAAGCCATTCTCATTTACTATATTGTAACAACGTTCTGACTAGTCCCTCTGGTGCATTTAATAACAGACCCGTAATTTCAAGCGTCGGGACCCGTTTGAGAATGTAGCGAGCCCAGCTGATTTGTTAAAGTGCGTATCACTAATTTAGTGAAACCATTGTATCTTTTTACTTCAGATGTTAACTCTGGTCACGTAAGATGCACTTGATAAAAACTAAAGTGAGACATGACCTACGTAAGAGGCTCGTACCCCACCGTTACTGCCTTCTCTGTCTCCTGGGCCATTTTCCTCATAGATCACAATGATTTATGAAGGGTGCCAGCTTCCACGCAGCTTTACAACCACCAACCGTTAATCAGACAACGTTACCCGTGCGGCGTTCGACGCTCTAGTGACCTAGTTCTGTAACGTGGGTTTAACTATTAAGTGTCTGACCTTAGCCATATGCCCAGTTCAAACTACATACTTCGAACGGCTAAACTTCGATATCTAGTTACTGCAATGTGTGCTCATTTAAGCACGCATTTCATCTAGTCTATGCCGTTTATTGGGGCAGAAATAACTCAGTCCGAAGCTATTTACTCCGGATTCTAGAATCTAAAGACACCCGTATAAATAAACGGTTCCTATTTAAGCTAAAAGTTTTTCACCCTTCAAAAAAGATTGCAGAACTTGCTATTATAAGCATTCTTCCAATGCAAGGAGATTATGTTTGCATCCATCGTCTAGCTAGTCATATACAGATAAACAGCTCACCATGATTACATTGAACCTAGTGTATTATAGTTACCTTAATGGAATATAGTGTACCTACGCATCTCGCTTGCAGAACATATGAGATGTAGCAATAAGGAGCGATGAATACCAAATCATTAGGTATACTTAATCGAGCGAAGAACGACTGCAGGCCAGCCTTCTGCCCAAAAATGACATACTGAAAATAAATGTTTGCAATTTTTTACGTCTGGCACCGTCTCTAACGATGCCTCAAACGGCTGGCTTCCGGCATACAAATGTATGTTTACGCTCGATTTCAAACCTAGATCTCTTTATCTTTGCCTAAGTTAAGTAGGATAATATTTTGCCTTCGCATTATCAGTGAGACGAGATGACATAGTAGCTATGTTGGCCATACTCGTCTGGGATAAATAGTGCCAAAATTGGTAAAAAAAACGATGCTCAGAGGCTTTAATACGATATTCTGGTTGACCCATTGCTTTATGTGGTCTCAGAAGCTGCTTTTAAATCCGTTGGCTATAGTTGAGCTGAGTTCCCCGTCAGTTTACGGAAAGTCACGGTACTCTCGAATATCGTTGACGGTACTTCCCGGTATTTCTCGCAAGAAGTTCCGTTTCCACGAAATTCTCAAAACTGCTCGCGAACGCTCAACAAATGCTGAACAAGACGAACGCTTTGTTGAGATGCGATGGTTTAACATTGAGCCGAACTCGACCATCGCGCTTTACGGCCATCCGCCAGAGTACAATATCACTAACATGCTCGAAAGGGTCTCATCCACGGACCAGTCATCTGGCTACTACATAACGAACATTACTATGCCTCGACTACAATGTGATACTCCGTTTGTACTTAATAATAACTGTATCTATTTTTGGATCGCTGTCCTCGATACAAAAATGCGTATCATGGAGGTCGACTGTTTCCGTGGTTTCCCGTTCTGGATGTACGAAGCCCGTGAGTTTCTGAGCAACGTTGAGATTCGGCGTGCATTTATACCCGGCACACACAATTCGGGAACGTATGATTACTACGACGGTGGCACGGTCCATGCGCGGGTGACCCAGTACGTCGAGTGTCAAGACGAGAGTGTATTCAATCAGCTATTCTATGGCGCGCGTTATATTGAACTTCGGGCGTCGTTTTCGCCTAAACGACGACAGGCACGCCCTGCTAACATCGTCTGCATAGACCAAGAAAATGATAATGCAAACGGTAGCAATAACGTTTTGAATGACATGTATAGAGAGGAACGCGGTTTGGATTGTCGAACAGCTACATTCTGGAGCGTTCATGGCTCGTTCGTGACAACATCATCATTCGATCAGATCGCCCGAGACATTCGTCGATTTTTGGAAGCTACCAAAGAAATCGTGTTAATTGATTTACATAAATTTAAAATCTCTGGAAAGTGGTGGTGGACGACAGATCTTCATCTCGAACTTTGGCGGCTTCTTTCTAGTGAACTAGGTGAGTTTATGGCACCGTTCAAAGAAGATGTCACTTTCGGCGAGCTATGGGAATCAAATAAACGCCTCATTGTGTCCACAGCCCATCCGGTGCCAGATGTTAGCCCATGTATATGGCCATCGTTTTTGCACATCTGGGCAAATACCGATCGACTATCGCAGCTTGAGCTATTTCTCGACGCGCGTCTCTGCGCTGAAGTCCAAAACAGCAAACGTATTACGGTCGCCAAGGTAAACATTCTACGGAGATGATCCAGTTTAGAACGCAAATAGGTATTGCAGTATATGGACTTGCCGTTATTGGTTTTACATGAAAGGTAGTCATCGTTTGTCTTCGGTGTAACACATTTTCAATTTATTTTGTTCTTTTCCCAGAATGACTACATTTCCGCATAACTGATTACTGTAGGAGATATGTCGACGGTGCTTGCTCTCCCCTATACAGAACAGACTATTTTACTATGACTGTTTGTTTCTGCTGAGTCATACTTTTTAGATGCGAAACATTGTGCTGTGCTTCGAATCTCTCTAACAAAGGTCCTATTTATAGGGGTTAAGCACCATTGCTGCCGCATATAAGGGGTCCACTACACTATTGACTCTTAGTTTTAACAATTACCTCTGCGTTAATGGAATGAGCCTAGGTTTCACATAATGGTCATGTTGATCTTTTTTTGACTCGCATTCAGCCAGGCGTATCTTCTTTTTAAGGGTAAGAAGGTTGTTTTAACGCGTTGTTCTATAATTGCTTTCCAGGGTCAGCTAACTCCACGTTTGGGCTTGAAAATGCTACGAAACACCTTGCGCAATCGCGGTGGGGTTCGTTCTTTCACGCCGGGCACTAATCGCGTAATGGACAGGCTGTATCGAAATAAATTGGCATGCGCGAACGTAGTAGCCGTTGACTATCTGCTTAGCTCAGACGTGGTACGTGTTGCGATTGCCGTAAACACGACGCCCGAGAGTCCGACAAATAACGCGAGATTTCCTCCGAACGTTTCATTTAATAGGAGCATTCATAACGTGGATGAAAGTTTATTTCGTCCTATGTGCAAACGTCGAGTCCGCCTTTAGAAATTACGTTTTCAATAGGCAATGTTATGGGAATATAAAAACAAAGCTGTTGGAAGATGTTGGCGAGTGTTCGCCACAGAACGTTTACTTCATCTGCGTTTAATGATTCATCCAATGATTAAGGCTGCAAGGCGTTAATATCAATACCGTACATCGATACGTAATTATTTTAACTGTATCTCTGATATACCTTTTCATTACTATAGATGTTTCTGTTGTTGATGCTATACGAAGAGGAATTTTTAGAATAATCGCTTTAGAAGGCAAAAAATAATCACTTCAGAAGCCAAAAAGCATGTGAGGTAATTAAAGTATGCACAAACGGCGAGCACTGCACAAACGGCGAGCACACTGCCAGCGGATGCAATTAGTTACTTCGTATAAAGGACTATACCGCGCTGCTACATTGTTGACTTAGAAACTCCACAAACTCCACAGCAGATTTGTTTACTTTATATCAGGCTGCTAACGTCCTCACGTCTGAATTTTGCTCCGGCTGTAAAAAAGCTGTAAGAAATAGTATGCCTTCAAAACAATCGAAAAAGCTCATAAGGAGGGATATTTACCTAGAGACTTAGTTTTTTTTTTTTATACCTAGAGTTTAAAATGCATTCGCACATTGAATAGGATCCTGGTACTTTTATTTCTGCAAACGGTGTTCTTTTTATCATAGGTTCGCATGTTATTCACACAGTACCTTCGGAATCGGATCGTTTCGAAACCTGATCGGATCGTTTCGAAACCTGAAGTTTTGAAACTGAAGAGCTCTGAACGAAAAAGGAAAAACGGCTTATAAGCAAAGCACTGGGCGTTTATAAACATGAATTATGAATGAGGTGAGGGTACCCTTTATTCCTGAAATCATGACTAAATTTTAACGTTTGTAGTATCGATTTCTTCCTATTCACTGATTTCTCGTACATGATATATACCCTACATGGATAATAGGTCTTACCTAATACTGTCCTATTACCTGTTCCAATCCGACCTAAACAGGGTGAGTTCGGGCTGTGATATTATTCTATTACTTGTTTCAATCTAACCTAGCGCGGAATTCTAAAGCCAAACTCGTGGTTACGCTAAATACCGCCATTGGAGCTGTCATTTTTGTTCTTTGTAATTTCCTCGCATCATTGCTCCCACCATATTGTTTAGTGGACTCTGGTAAATCTGAGCTATTAATTTTTAAAAATTCGATTGCAATACTTCGGATACTCCGTTACCTTTTTTGTAATTTCGTTTTACGTTATCTAAATATTTTCTCCACTAATTAGTAAGAATTCATCATAAAAAAAACCATCCCTGCAAGTTCACTCAAGCAATATTTGGTAATATCAGTGCTGAACCAAAGGGTGTGGCGAGTGGAAGTCCCCCAGGATTAAACGAACACCTTAACGGAGAAATTTGGTCTGTGTAATGCATTAGCTCTTCACCTCCCCAGAAACAAAGATACGACTCGTTCTGTTACTGAGAAGCAGCTGTCCGATACCCCTCGTCTACTATCGATGTCAATGATCCAGTTGTTATTGCTAATGGGTCGCAACGATGCTTCCGTTGACGGGCTAGCTCTTTGTGGGGAGCCAAAAATAAGACCTCTTACGCTTATTGTAATGCTTGGTCGATTAAAATATTTGTTATACAAGCAATGAAGTTTCGAATCGTTACGTACAGCTTGCCCCTCAAATACCACCTTCGTTTCTGTGACAGAAACATTTTCTGGCGTGTAGAACGTAGGGACTACAAGAAAAAACTCGTTTTTTTTTAAAAAAATCCAATATTGTGTGCATTCTGTAGCACTCGAAAAACTAAGTACACTTCTATATCATATATATATATATATATATATATATATATATATGTGTATATCGTCGAAAGCAATTTGTGAGCTAAACTTGGCAGAAATAATCTACATAATACAAATCATTAATGATTTTAAAATGTTACGAAGAATGTGTGTGGAAAATGAGAAAAAGATGCGCATTTTCTGTCTTGGAAGGTACATAATGCATCCATTTAAAGGCTCGAATTTTTGTAGATTTCGAAGGAAATAGTCCTTATGAAGCATTTTACCTCATAACATCGTATTGTCTGCACCTCAAGTGTATGCGTAAGCCCTATACAATTTTGTTAAGACTTTAGCAACAGAAATGCTTTTAAATTTCATCGTTTATTATGTAGCCCATTATTTTCGAGGGCATCTGTATAAAAGAGGAATGAATGTACTAATCTGATGGTTTATAATTTAATTCTGCGAATTGTAAATGTATGTGCCAGGTAAACTAATCAAACCAGCCCGTTCCAACTTCCAGAAAGTCGACTCTCCAAAGCACCATGTGATTGTTACTATTTTTACCACAAAGGCCGTCTGATATAGGTATCTTGAACATATAGAAAAAAATTTTCCTCGCTGACTGAGCAAGTGAGGTGACTCATCGAAGGATCGCAGAAGACACCCACGTAGAATAAAATCTTTAGCTGCGACAGTGAAACTGGTCTCGTAATATAAACTAGGATGTTCACGCTATTCTTGCATGAGATCATAATTCAGCCTTAATTAAGCATTCAGTACCTGTTATACATTGCACTAATGATACGCCAGACACCTTACCAATTCGGAGAATGCGTGCTTGTCTTCAGCAAAAACGTTTCCTTCAATAACAGGTAATGGAATATTTAGTGTGACAAAAGAAATGCACATCTTGTAAAAGCAATGTAATAACACAATTTGACATTTCACGCTTCTTTCATTACGGTTTGTCCGTAAAGTTGAACATTGTCGAGGCAGTAATTCGGTAAGCTTCTATTGTATAATAAACTGAAGTGATCTAAAGGACGAAGGCTTGATTCTCATTTCTGCGATGTTTGAACCAGCACCTTTAAAGCTTCATACCTGCATAGCTGCATTTACTAGGGGAAATTAGTTAAGTTACCGCTTGTCTTTGTAATCGTTTATGAAAAAAGTTCTTCCTGCGTAGTGTTACTTGAAAATCAACGAGCTGATTATTCAGCCTGAAATATTATTGAAATTGCTTTCGAAGATAGTTGAAAAAACATGTTTTATGAAAACTATTTATGTCGCCTTTAGATGACCTATGGTTTGAAGAGGCCAAGTGTCTACGAATGTAATATAGGTTAGCTAGTAGTTGGACACAGCTAGAACGATGAAAAAGACGACGCATAATTTAACCCAACAATTGCACACAGTTTATCTTCTCTAATATATATAGTCTTACCGCTCTCATTGTAGTTCTTTTATTCGTATATATATATATATATGTATATATATATATATATATATATATATATATATATAGCATTACGTAGAATAGTATTTCCCATGAAGACCGTTGTTATCAAAATTTCTACTAGGCTTTCTAAGTTCCATCATTCTTTATTGTCCTCATCGGCCTCGTTCTGTTCCGTCATTGTTTCTGCGTTTCTTGTTATTGCCCCGTTTTTGCTGTTGTTTTTGTTATTGTTAGTATCATAAATTCTATTCTAATAATTAGTTCCATCATCCCCACCATCGCCATTATAGTTGTTGATGGTATTATTCGCACGTTAAATTATACTTTCATCTTAAATATTTCACGCCTATGGGACAGTTTGCACGGTATACCCCAACTTTCACAATTCACGTCGACTGCTCATCGTGTCTGTTTACTCTTCATTATTTGTCGTCTGTCTTCTAGTTGCATTAAGTGTCTTTATATCGCAGTGTTTTGTTATTATATTTGTTATAATCATAATAGTATGATATATCAATATACATTCGCTTCTATTATGCTGTCCTACAAGACCAAAATTGGTGATTTTTGTTACTTTCGTTCTCCTGCTCAGTTTCCTCTATAGAGAAAACTGGCCCTTTAGAACACATTCAGTCACGGTTTGCTCCCTCTCTGGGGATCGGTACATTAGAGATATGTCACACATACCGTATTCTAATATTCACCAGTAGACCAAAGTAACCTTCCAGGTTTTACGTTGCAACTTACCTATAAAACTAAACGCATATATGATGTCTCAGTAGGATCGTGCGCAATAATCCGTACATTTCAACTTGAAATTCAATAAATTGGATAACACAACAAGGAATTTGTAGCAAGTAAAAACAAATGACATTTTCGTGCAGTATGTATAGCTGTTGCTACAAAAGTTGAACGCAATACGTTGGGTATTATAGGTGCAGCAGAAAAATTATCGTTGTTGTTGTTGTTGTTGGCTGAAGCGGTATCGTTCGTTCTTCATTTGAGTTACAATTATTGTTGATTTTTTTCCATACTTTGGCCCTTACATTTTCTTTTTTGACTCGATTCCAATCGAATGTTTGAAGACTGTGAAGATTAAGAGGACGTCTTTCCTCCCCATATAAAACCGTTTGTCGAAGTACAACTTGAAAAAACCAGTCGTTCATCTACCATACAGACACATCATTTAAATAAATAGTGTTTCTTATTAGTAAGCCAATGAATATCTTTTGTTTTATTGTTATTGTTGCTATTTTAGCCGAGACATTGCACAGTTATACGTAACTAGTTTAGTAGAAAAACGAAAAGCTTGACCTAATTTTCGCGAAATGAAAGGTAATGATGCCCGATCAACTAACAACCCTAAGGGGTTAGTGTACATGTCAATACTACCATTATCAATTATAAGTCAAATCCTTGAATAGAGAAACACGCCGGTTACAGAAATTTAAGTGATCGTCTATACGATTATTTAGTGGTAATAACAGTATCTTACACTTGAAAAGTACACCGGAATACGTACACACGGAGCGGGGGGATGCATATATGTGGAATTATAGAATTCATCGCCTTCAGAAGCTAGCATTGCGATGTATCTGGCTTTGTTTTTCTCCTGTGTCATATGGTGTCGCTTTCTTCTACGTCTTTCTATTTAAAGAATATTATTAATAAATACATAATATAATACATACGAGAGGCTCGGAATCATGGTAAAGGTAGTTTATAGCATCGTAGTCGAACGTGATAGCCAGCCTTTGGCTCGTTATCTGTCTGTATCTTGTCTTTCTTCTTTTCATTTCCCATAACTCTGAAGCATGGAACAAAAAATACAAGTCACGAGCTCATCGAATGCGGATGCGTTTCGAACGCCCTCATATACTCATAGATACACATATTCTATATATATATATATATATTGTTTATGATTAATTTGTGGGTAAGTGAGTTCGCATGATACCGGATCCAGGGGCATTGTGGGGGTCTGCGACATAGGGCATAGCATTGGAAACGCTCGTATTCAAAGATAAACAGAGTTGCTCTATCCTACCATATACTGCGGCAAACAGACACCGCAGTCAAACATACAGCCTCTCAGCACGATCTCAATCACATCCGTTTGGGACGCGCGGCAAGCGATGAGACTTTTGGTTTCAGTCAATGTGTAACGCAATGCGCAGTCGGTCCTCATCCGTTAGTCATATTCACTCGGTTTGATTCTATTTTTTTTTTTTGTTTTTAGGACGGCGTCACATTACTGACTCTGTTAGATTGCTATTATGTCATTGGCAATAGCTTATCATCGTTCATAGATTTTAATAATGATTGGTAGTGACAGCTGTCCAAGTTGCCCACCCACTGAGGGCAAACAGCTATCAGGGACATCAACGATTCTTTTACGAATGATTGCCGTAAGTAAGCATGTGTAGAAGTTTAGTGGCATAGTTTATATATAATCTTATTTGATTATTATCATCATAATGACGATATATGTATATATATATATTAAACGATGCGTGTGAATGTTATTATAATCATATTCATAATAACTGCTCGCCTAGTACACACTCCATTTATGGACGACAATATGGGACGACGAAATATGGACGTCATGTTGGTTTTTTTGCTTACCGTATTAATTTCACTTTCTACCTTCTACAAATAACCGCTAATCGCGACCTCAGAATCCCACAAGTCACACAGACGTCGACCAAACAAGAGAACATCATTGAATTAAGGCGGATCAATGGGAACCCAGCTTAAATAGGCGACTTTTTAGGCAAAGTTGCTTGACCGCTTGCATTACAGCCTTCATAAGACCCATTTACCTATGTCGCGCACATTCTGCCTTGCACACGTTACTTTTATCTTTATTTTTTAGCGTCCGCTCCGTCTGCTAGCACTTAAACATTTATTTCATGGCCTTGATTTTATCAGGTTAAGGTATTCGGCACGTCTGTCCGTTCATAATTTCTGTTTAACCAGTCTTACGTTTATATATGTATATATAATTTTCGTGGTATTTTACAGAATTGGATAGTCATAATAGCAAACTCATTATTGTAAGGTTTACCGAAAGCCCGCGATTCCAAGCAGATCTCGAGCGATGGTATTAGTTTTCTTTTTATGGCGGTGATTAGTCCAATTACAAATTGTGCAAAAGATTTTTCTCTAGAAATTCGAATGGAGTGTGTAATTATTAAATGTACTCTGATTCTTTTGGACGTAAACTCTGTTCAGGTCGACTGCAGGTAATTGTTGTTGTACGGCAACTGGTCCAGTGTCTCGGACGTCTGGGGATTGGTACACAGTAATCGTCCCTCTATGGACATCGACTTTGTTTAAACAGCCATGAGGTATGGCTAACGTGCGAAGTGTTGTTCTTACTTGTTGCCGTTTTTTGTTGTGATTGTTATATAATTAGCACCTTGCTGTTTGGATCGGAGTGGGGCGAGGTCGGGGACCTCTTCGTCGGTTCGCGTTTCGATGCCCTCAGCGATTCATTGATCACTCAAGCTGTTTGTCGTTTTCGATGTTACGGGTGCCGTAATAATTGTTTTTAATCGGCTACGTATATTGGCATGCAGGGTTAGATACTGCATTGTTCCATATGGGCAGGCAGAAAAATATTGCACTAGTAATATGCTGCTATTGTTGTAAAACGGAATAATTTACGGCTCCCATCTCTGTATGTTACTATTATTCTTCATTATATAGTGAAGTAGCTTCGCCTATGAACATTCTTTGATCATTGTGGGCGGGTCATGTTCACCGGCAGTTGGCTACGCACCGTATCTGCCAATGGCCGTTTATAATCATCGTGTATATAGTAAAGACCGTGCCAAGAAGGGGTAGCTGTGCTAGCAACAATAAGAACATTGATACCTTCTTGTATCCACGCCTTTCGGTAACAAATGGGCAAAAAATTAAACGAAAAAATCGCACCAAAGCTAACGGGGACGCGATCCTGCTAAAATTAATCGTAATTACACATGTTCAACTGTCAATAGACGCCTTTCGACTGAATCTTATTTGGTGCGTTAGCATTATTACTAGGAATTCTACTATTGCTTACCAGTATTCATTGTTATAGTAGCAGCGTTGCTTACCAATGTTGTCACTGTCATAGAAATTATTTCAGTAATTTGAAGGAATTGTATATATATATATATATATATATATATATATATATATATATATATATATATATATATCTGTATGTATATCTATATATCATCATTTATAATCGTTACTGTGTATAAGTCGTATAGCGGCTGAACGTCCATACATCTAAGCGCAGCCTGTGCGGCCTTATCTTTTCATTTAACATCACAGTTGCCAGCAGTGAAGGAGAATAACAGTGGTCAAATAACCGGGGACTTGAATCGGTCGCCAACGCACGATATTGATGAGCTAGTACCGTAGTGGAGAAATCATCGTCATCGTTATTGTTACTCGAAAGGGGATCAATGCGTGTGTGTACGTGCGACCTTCTGTCATCTCGTTCCGACCATCTTTGTCCGACGGTATCTATATCCGATCTCCGGTCGTGATAACAGCTGATTTACTGCCCTCCTTTGCTCTGGTCCAGTTGTTTCAGATGACTCCTCTATCCTCGGATTGGTTGTGCAATGGCAATCTCAATAATTCAGTATGACTGTTTTTCTTTTGCCTGCCTCGTCGATTCAGTGACTCCGGCTTAACCGCCCAATCTCTTTAGCACCCGTACTTATTATTCCTTAGTCTCTTTACTTCGAATTTTGACTCTTCGGCTATTTCCGCAATGCATTGCATCGCTGCATGTGATTAAGAAGTACATCGAATAGAAAGGGTGGAATAGTGCGACCTGTATCGCATTAAAGTCGCAAGGCTTCATTGCTATACATTGCAGTGGTCACACTTGTCACAATGTTACTTCGTCAAAGCTGGCCCTCTTTCCAAAATTTTACCGATCTCCAAATCAGCCTAATTACTTTCCTTATCGCTTCCATTTTTTACCATTTTAACAATTCATCTCATCGCGTCCGATTGCATGACTTCTGCGTGTCCGTTTCACTGCTCCTGTTCGATACCTTTTACGTGTTTCTGTTTTTCTTTATGTACAAATATCACAGAACTGTTCAGGGATATTTTGAACGCTGCTGATTTAAGAAGGATTAGTTGTTGTTGTTATTACTAGTATTTTATATTACGCCATTATATTCGTGCCCTTTCACCTCTGTCATATCACCTCGCTCATTAGAACGATTAATATTTTTTTTTAAAGAAAATAGTTGCTATAATTTAGCTATTTTGTTTTAAGGTCATTTATGAGTAAGCGCGTACGCCTACAAGGCTACCCGTTTTAAGGCCTATTCACATATAAAGTGGTTCAGACCAATAGTGTTAAGGCCCTGATCGTGTATTTAAAACTACGTCGTTTCGCAATTGCAGGAAGTTCAAACCAGCACTTGGTGGCGCAAAGTCAGTTTCTTTCTGTTGTATTTGTTATCGTCAGAGATGTCTGTACAGCAAATCAACGATGTGTATACGCTAGCAAATGCTAGCGTACGGCTCATACTTAGTCTTGCACGTTTTCTGTGTTTCTTTTTTTTGCAAGCGAATAATAACAATCAAATATTACGAGAAAGTATTTAGTTGTGTTTTTGTGTTGTCCGTTTATTCATTGCCTTCGTTGATATCGTTAGAGGACTGATTGATGGCTCAATCGCCTGGCTGGTGTGCCTTCATAGACATTAGCAAGCCATCCCTGTAGAAAAAAACACTATGCACTTAAGTATCGGATGGAAATTTTGTTATCATCATATTTTCGAATAATTAGTGCCGTTGTTATAATTAAGCCTACGAGGCGGTTGCTGGCGGCGGGGTATTGATACTGCTGAGGTTAAGGGCGTTATTAAGATTGAGCGGTGGGGGCTGTGTCGAGTGCCCATGGGCGGCATTGGGAAAGGGCGGAACAACACCAGCTGTAGGCGTTGTTACCGCGGACGTCACAACCGACGATGGATTCGACGGCGTCAGCGTGAGTGGCTCGACATTTGGCGAGAGATCAACGCCTAAAATTACCAGGGCAAAAATATTAGACACGATAATCATGATAATAATAATTAGTATCTTGTTTAGATTTAGCTAGAACGGTCAGTAGGCTGGCTGGAATTCATCGAGGATCGATCGGTAACTGGAATACAGGAAAAATGGTGATGGTAAAGATAACGATATGAACAAATCTGATGATTAGGAGAACAACTGAGGGATGTATGTACACTTCCTTTGTACATATCACCAACATAATCAGAGCCTTATTCTTCAACTAAACTAGCGCTTATTAGCGTATTACTGTCCCAATGGACACTAAGCAACGACTACGAAAGGAGATAGAATTGACAAAACCCGTAAAATACCATTTCCAACTTTTAGACCAATTGGTCACAGATATTAATCCATCAGGTGTCATAATTTAAATTAACGGGAGTAATAAGAAGCAACTTCATTCGGATGTTACCGAAATTATTCTCCAAGGATATACTTAAATGGGAGTTTACATGCTGGATAGAACTTGTAAAGTATAATTATTAAATAGGTCTAGCTAGCCTTACTGAAACAAAGATAGTCAAGTTCAGCATTAGGAAGAGTAATTCACTAAGGACTACCGTCCGGTGTACACAAATTAAAACTTCGTATAAAATCAAATATATCAAATGCACTCTAAACTCCGCTTTCGGCTACTTACCTAGTTGTAGCAATTGTTCAGTAATACTCTCCTCTGAGACGGTATTTGATCCGAGGTTAAAATCACATGGCGTCGAACTTCCGGACTGCGAACTCTTTGATGTTGTCTTAGGCATGCTCAGAGCGGAGTTCAGCTGCTTATTGATTATCTTCAGACGGAGCACCTGATGGTCGAGTTCATTAGGGAAATAATTAGATTGACGATGAAGTCAGCGCCGAGGGACATTTGCCCCTAAAACAATCGAATAGAGGCAGTCGCATTCTCGTCGAGTACCGTCTCAAATATGTGCAACAAGCATGCGTGAGATAAGCGCTATAATCAAACAGCTAAACCAAAGACTACTACTACCCATACTGTTTTCAGTGCTAAATAACTATTGCTAGTTAAGTAGACACGTGCAATGCTGTAGGTTACTATTTCGTGCACAAACTTCGATCTTGAACTCGGCCGAATCGATCCATATGCTTTATAAGCTCGTAGGCTATATGCTTATATAGCATGCACGGAACAAGTAAGAACGTAATGCACCATATCAAACTCTCCCAGACTCTCACCATCTAAGCAAGTAGCCGTGGTTAGCTTGCAGTAGCCGCATCCCGTACACGATCTCAAAATAAGCATGTTTTTTTGAATTGTCCAAAAGAGTCATGCAGTCCTATTTGACGAAAGGTAGCACGCCTCGCGTTTTATAGAACGTTTTACGCGTATACTATGCCAGGCTTATAGCTAACAAGACTTAGGTGCTAAGTTCGTCATCGCTACTGATTATTGATTATTACGTTTAGCAGTCCTCTTCGTCTGTCTCTTAAACTGCAGAGCGATGCAGATGCTTCACAATTAAACTACACTACGTACAAAGAAGAGACATATTTATAGGACATGTTCAAGTCTATACGTTTGTAGAAAAAGAAGTAATGCTGTAGGACGGCAAGGTACCAGTGCCGCTTGAAAGACCAGGGCCGGCAGACCAAGAACGGACCAGGAGAACACGGAACGCAAGCATATTATCAATCAAAAAGCGGATAAAGATATATATATATATGTGTGTAAAAATTGCCGCGGCTAGTTGACAAGGATCAATCTGCCAATCGATTGATTCCCTCTTGCTCTAAGCAACTCCCTTACATGTTAACGTTATCCAGAATTCCGGCTGTGCTTTTGTTTTCTGCATCGTCTCACACGCGAAGACTGTTCTTAACGTTTATGATATACGGGTAGAAATACAGCCTCTTGACGAGTTCGTATGCGTAGGCGACGTAACGTAATGTGCAGTATTTGTATATTTTTTCAGTTTTTTCTTTGATTTTCGCCTTGGATTGGAAAACCAGGTTTTACTACCACTGGGCGACTGGATCTCCACACACACACGCGCCTACTTGCGGGTTTATTTTCTGGCCCTTCAGAAAGAAATGAACCACTTCAGTGGACGTCTGCGACGGGATTCTCCCCACAGGAGATCTGCCGCTCAAGACAGGTAGCTCCTAGTAACTTGAATGGAAAATTCACTTTCATCATGTACTGCGTCTTGCTGGCAGACCCAACATCAGTTGGTGCCCTGTTTCGACTTTGGCTGTTTTTATCTTGTCGTCACGGGGTTGCCTAGAACGTGCCGGGCTCCCAGCCCGCAGGTGTTAACGGCGAGAACACCAGCAGGTTGGAGGCCACTTGCTTGTTATTCAGATCGAGCTGGAAGCCTGACCGCTGTACGTATGTAGTTATCGTCCGACGCCCCAGCAACGATGCAAGGGCAGCAAGAACAACAGAGACAAACAGAAAAACAAGGAGACAGAGAAAGAAAAAGAAAGAGATAAGAGACAAATGTGAATCATAGTGTTGATCAAATTGGACGGACAATCATCGTTTAAACCGTACTTGTATAACCGGTCCATTGCTGAATGATCGATCTGATTGATAGCTCACAACTTCAATCTTTGAACCTCCATAATAATGTCACAAGATCATTTGGTGAAGCTAACAAACTTCATCATTAAGAAGAAAGGACAAAAACGCTAATTGCCTTTTCAATTACAGCCTCATAAATTCATCGTAAAGTTTCGTTGGTTGAAGCTGCTCCAGAATGGAACAACTGACGATCAGCACTCTTTCTTGATCAAACGCCTCGCCAAGGACGGACAAACACACACGTACCCAGCACTTCAACATATTCGGACGCCTTATCAGGTACATCCATCGAGAGTTTCGCTTCAAAGCGATGGTAACAACGGCATTTGATAATATTGTTCTTAATGAAATGAGAATCCGAAGCTTTATCCAGGAAATCCATATTCAACATAATCTAAGATCAATTAGACATTAATGTCGTCGAAGGGTAAAATCAACAAATACAAGCTTTTCAGCTGATCTTAGATGTTGTTTATAAGCACCTAGAGTCAAACAAACTAATTTACCGGTAGTATATTAATCTTGATTAAAAACAAAAAATGTTGCCAAAGTGGGCTGACCGGTAAACAATAAATTCAAGTACTTCTACCATTTATACTAATTCATGAGTATGAAATTGGCAATCGTATAGATGCACCATGGTTCAAAGTGAGTAACAAATGTTAACACGAATAGAAACTACGACGCTTGATGCTCCCCCAACGCCCCGAGGTTTAATCCACTAAACCGGCAGGTTGAAAATGGTCAGGAAAAGAATGAAGAAGTCCGTTTTCTTCGGATATAATAATCGAATTCTAAGAGAACGTGCCCTTACCTCGATGCTGGATAGGCATATACAGAGATAGGATGAAGTAATAGCATGTAGATGGGCCTAGATATGTAAAAGTATTTAATAAAGATGTATACGCATATTGCAGGTTTGACAGTTCGCAAATGCTCTTGCTGCAGATAGTACAGAATACAAAGTATGTAGAGATATATATATATATATATATATATATACACGTAAATATGAGAAAATATATGATATAAATGAAGGTGCTCGGCAGAGCTGCGTGTGTGAAGTCGCTGTGCGGGCGGGTGGCAAGAGTGCAGATCTTGGCAACGATCGGTATCAGATCAACTATCTCAAGAGTAGGCAGATCAATCGTCATTCATTCTCATGTTAGCATGATGCCTTCGTTGGTTCTACTAAACGTACACCTGTATTGTCATTGATTATTGTTTCTCTCTACCCACCACCCTGTTGAGAAATCTTTTGCTCAAAAAGAAGTTCTCAATCTAATACCACCACGCTATCTACCACTCCCCTTCTCAGCAACGTCAATTAAGTCAATGATTGTATCAAGGCTCGTGATCATGCCAAATATTACACGAGGAAAAACCGTCCCGCCTAAAAACCAGTGGCCAGAGATGAGCACTTAGATTATTAATTGTTGAAGACGAATTTCACAGCAGAG